GAKRAGAAGAACAGAAWGAGAAAGAACTTAGAAGGAGAGTGGAGAAAAACGCAGAAGAAGAAGAACAYGTAAGACAAGGAGAAGAAGAGTACATGAATGATCTATTATTCAAGTAAAAAGTGAAAACAGTGACTTACATTCATTGCATTATTCATTTCAGCAACTGTTTCATCCTCAACAGGGAATTTATAGATTTCAACGCCATTGCTTTCAAGCTCATCAATAATCTGTAGCCAACAACATCATGAAAGTTTAAACACTRCACTTATAAAAATACTAGCCAAATTTCACATAATTCAACAGATATTTGGATGTATCTAACAGCAGACTCTTTGAGGCCTAAATGAATTTGAGTACTTCATCTTTATTTATAAAGAAATATACTGGGGTACATGTAGCCGGCTTTCAATATTTTGATTTGATGRCCACTACTGAAAGAATTGTAGACAAGGCTTCTGGGAGATAATAAATCCATTGTTTTTCCAGAGCCTCATCTGCAATTCTTTTGTACATGTTTACTCAACAAAAGTATCTTACTGTAAGATGACTATTTTAAACAAATCAGTGTTAGTACTAATGAAATGTTACCTTTTGTTTGAAATGTACCAGCTCAGCTTTTGCAATAGTGTCAGACTTGGCAATGATTGGAATGATGTTTACCTATTAATAGGATGGTAACTTTTTAAACATACAATATCACGTATTGAAAAAAATAATATGTTGTAGGTGGACAAACATTCATTCTCTACCACTATACCCAGTATGCTCACGTGTCAAACTCTCTCATTACTTTTGATTAATATAAAGTGGTGAGGATAGACTTCAAAGCACCTTTTTATCAAGTTTCTTCATGCACATCAGRTCAAGAGATTTCAGTCTGAAAAACATAAACATTTAAAGACTGTAGCAACCATGCATGAGTGAGAAAATTGAATACAAAGTCTCATATTTTGAGTGTGATGACAATTTGACAAATTGCCACTGTAAATACATGAAAATTAAAATAGCTTCTTGTCTAGGTAATAACTATGGTGAGCTCAGACAAACTTGCATTGTTTTGTAGTCTTTAATTACCATAACATGTATGTAGTGTCAAATAGGATAATTTTCATAGTCATAAGGCGTCTCATAGTATTTCTTATTTATGACTTACTTACRAGTGTATGCACTTAAATGTATGAGTCCACGCACTTATGTATGATTTATTATGAGTGAGTGCATGTTCTGTGGGAGAAATAGAGTACAAGCGCTTATTTATGAGTTACTTACGAGTGTCCTGTGGGAGATATGAAGTACAAGCACRCATGGACTCTAGTGTCACTAAAAGTATTCATAGCTCGTCTGATCTTCATCTCCTGGTGTAGATAGGTGTCAAATTGTTTGTCTATGTACTCTGTAATGGCTACGTGACTGAAAATAGAATTATAAGAATAGGATGATAAGTATAACATAATTAAACAAACCTTAGAATTTCAAATAAAATAAATGCTTTATGTGATGTATTTAATGCAACACAGTTCAATCTTACATTATGTTAAACAAATGTAAAATTTCAGTTCATAATAAATCAGTTGAGCAAAAKATGGATAAACTCGATAGGAGTTAATCAACTGGATTTCTTTGCAAGAAAACCTGGGATACCTTGTTAGTCTCACTTTCATTCCTTGAAATAATATACAGTAATATTGCTAAGTTAATCAACACTGTATGATTTTCAAATGATTTGATGTCAATGGTGGAAAGCAAGTCACGTACAYAATTAAAACAAAATTTATTTAAAAGACTATTAACTATTCRTAAAATTAGTCCTCCAAGYTGGATTATTGCATTGATTTATACCTGTCGTCTTTGTTGATTTGGTCTCCATATCCTACAGTGTCCACGACTGTTAGCTTTAGCCGAACATTGCTTTCTTTCAAATCTAAAAGGAGAAATCATATGACTCTGTTTAAAGTCTTGGTACATGTAGGTTTTAGTTATTAATAACAATCTCCAAGACGGTTTAATACAAGCCATCTTAAATTCAATTTAATTGTACACATTTCAAATGAAGTAACAAAAAAATTGTAATACTCTTAAGCCAAAAATAAATCATATTTTGAAGCGAAGATGAAGCATGAATCTGACTGCATGACATGGAATTCCAGTCGGACAGAGAGCATGGTTCTTATGTGTAGATGTAGATTTCTCTTTTTTATTTACTATTAAGCTATAATTTAATTAAGCTAACTGCAAGTACTCCACTTACTGTAAGTATGGTGCTCTATCTGTACCCCAGGTAGATTATGAGAATGTGGATCACCTGSATATGGAACATCAAATTAATTCATGTCATAAAAGTTTAAAATCCTTCGTATAAAATCAAACTGCTAATATCTCAACTTTATATAAAGTCGGTTTAATAAACAGCTGAGAATTATGTTATTTGAAGGGTGTACATTTGTACAATTTTTTGGAATTCTTAAGAAATATTAAACTTACATTTTTTTGAATTTTAAATTCATAATACTATATGTCCACCTGTTGCGCGCGTTACTCGTGTCAAGAATTTTATTCAAAACTAATGAGGAAACGCCTTTCATTCAAAGCTTGCATCACCAATACTCCAATAATAACATACAAAAYCCTCGMTTGAATAAAGAAAKGAGTTTACCTTCAAACGCAGTCTTGAAGAGACAGTCCATCAGTGTGGATTTGCCAATACCAGTTTCTCCTAAAAAATGGAAATAAAATATGCAAAAGTGATGGTTTGACCGACGCTGGWTTGAACGGAAATGAACACATATTTCACAAATTTCTCAAGCTGAATCAGTTTTTTCGCAATGAACGTCAAATGYATAAACTCAAGATATTKTCTGATGAATATACTAACCTACACACAAAATGTTAAAGGCAAAACCTCGATTTACAGATTTGTTTACAAGCTGATCGGGTAAACTGTCAAAACCAACATGACCCGCCAAACGTAGCTGACGTCCGTCCGCACCCTGTAAAGCGAGATAAAATACACGAAAATAAACAGATACTGGCACAAAAATCAACAGATGAAACCAAGTATTAACCCACCAAACTTCTACAATAGTCAGTAACAGCAGAAGACATGATTTGAAGGTCYAAAAGTGATCAAAATGAGACAAGCAGTCTTCAACTTCAAACCACAATAAAGGAATGTTACAAAGTTTTGAGCCTGTAAATTTTACGAACAGCGGGTTATATGAGCCCGTGAGYTTCCGGTATRAAAAGCGGTTTGACAWCTCTCCCCAGTCCTCYACGGTTGGGAGTAACTTTCGAATGTTGTKTYTYTGGAAAGGTCAAAAGTTATGTTCCTTTAAACRTTACTTTCACTGCATTCAGGGATAATGTTTGCCAGGTTATTTGGGAGAAAAGGTTTAGTAGTAGTTGCTATAGGTGCAGCAGGAGCTGGTRCAGCATATGGTGTTTGGAACGGCTCGAAATACGTGGTAAATCGGACTACAATACATGCCCATGATGGCGGCCAAACAAGACGACATGCAAGATTTGATAAATTTGCTTCTTGTTCCTTCGGAGATCAGCATTTGATGACACCCACAGACTTCCTGGAGTCATTGATGCACCAAAATATACCCGGTAAAATCCATGAAATAGAAGATTATTGAAATATAGCATGTCAAAACTTCAAAATATCAGCAAACTTACAATAAAGAGCTTTCTTACTGTATGGTCGTTTTGTGTTTAGGATGGACCAGGAAGAAACAGTTGACTCACAAGGTAACTTGATCATTATTGTCTAGAAATAAAAGAGCTCGCTTTCTGTAGTACTGTCATGTTGTCCCAAAAAGAACAGTGAATGTTGCAGTCTTTTTTTAAATTATCCCAGAAACCAATAGTGTTTTCTTGGTTTTATTAGGATATCCAAAAAATGGTTGCTAATACCCCACCACTGTCGAAAGGCTCAAGTAAATTTTTTAGAACATTACAGGAGGACGGTAATATTGTTTTTTCTTTATCTAATTCTTGTGAGCTGACTAATATGACTTTTTACAACACTCACTCAGACTGCGTAAAATCATACTAGTCACTGATATGATTCTTACGGAGTTTGAGTAGAGTGTGTCAACTATAACAAGATGTATCTGTCACCATCATTTGTCATGTGCATGTTCAGTTCAAAGAAWATAATGATTTTCACTCGATTTTAAGCTTAAAAATGTGGTAAAAATTTGCATGTTGTGTTTGTGGGTGAACTTGAGTATTGAACATTTATATGATCAAGAGGTGGRTCAAGAAGAGGACAATTAAACACAATCATTTACTGTTACTAGAATACATTGAGAATATTAAGTTAACTAATCATGCAATAATACTGATTGGGTTTTTCAGGTATCATAACATACCCAGAATATCTTTTCCTTATAACTATATTGACAAGTAAGTACTGATTAAATGAAACATTATAAGTCAATATATTGCACTGTCAAGCAGTAACAGACTGCTCTTCAAAATGGCTGCTTCTCATTTGCATAATGCATAATTTCCAGATAATATGTATTGGAGTGGACACACTTGATCCGTAAAATAGATAGTGCTAATTAGTTCTAAATGCCATTAAATGGATGAAACAATAGGAAGCAAAGGAATTTGCATAAGTTATTACTTTAAGACTCACGGAATTTTACTCTATGTTTCACAATTCTATGTCTAACAGAATCTAAACATGGTCTTGAAATTGCATATCGTATGCTTGACAAAGATGGAAACAAAAGACTTTGCAAAGATGAATTCCTAGTGGTAAGCATTAATTCATGAATTTTAACACATTGTACATGTACTACATGTATGTACTAAATGTATGGCAAGATAGCAGATTTTTCATTACAATGAATGCAATATGTATAGTTTAAAACACGATCTCGAGTGTTTTAAATGGCTTAAAAAACTCCAACACTAATTTGAAACTCAAATCCGTTAAAATTCTTGGAGAAATTGCMGTACAAATATGTTCAGAGATAAATGGGGCAAACTGATCATGCGCGAATCACTTTACAAAGCACTCTTGTCATCCCACATTGAATACGCATAAAGTAAAATAGAACAGCTCTTTGCTGTTCACTGAAACCGGTTGACATCCTGCATTGGTCAATGATCAGGTTTCAAACCTGAGACCTTTGCTAGGGTCATGGACCTTTATATCTGATAAAGGTCACCCTTATTAGTATTCTTTATATAAAGAATACTAATAAGGAGTGTTTTATCAGATATAAAGGTCCATGCATGTGACCAAATAGGCTCATTCTATTGGCCTAGTTGCTCATTAATTATGTATGAGTTTTTAAGATTTGATATAACAATATAAGAATTGAAAAACATAGTGGAATATAGACTACATTGTTAGTACTGCATATTGAATKACATTTCTTTCAGCTGGAAGAGATGGTAAACAAGAAAGCCACAGCTAAATCTATAGTAAGTTAATGAATTRATATGATAAAACTCATTGATAATTCTCATGAACTGTGAGTGATACTGCTCAACATGCACTAAAACGTTTTATTTCTCCAGGCAAATAATCAGGCTGAAATCAGTRGTTCTGAAGGACCACAATTAAATACCACATTGCTCACTCACTTCTTCACAGCAAAGGGAAATGGACAGCTTACATTTGACCAGTTTTCCAAGTATGATTTATGTATATTTATAGTTATTATTTTCACTATATATAATAACTATTCAGGTGTTTTCAAAGCTGTTTTTTCCTGYTGTAACTTTCTATTGTGAATGTTGTACTACTTTGTTTTTCAGATTCATGTTAGATTTGCAAGTAGAAGTTTCTGAAATGGAAATATCCTTTATGATATTACCCTTGACACTTTTCAAATAATGGCATTGAATTTACTCGACAGGTGAACGCAAATAATGCTCACCGTTATTGAACTAAGAGTCGGCTTTTTGAAATTGCTGTTTTATATTTTAGTCCCWCCCTGGCTTTCTGTCCCTCCCTCCCAAAAAAAGGGATAACGAGACCTTGTAGTAGTTAAGTAATACAGCTAGTAAACCAATGGACTTAGCTAGGACTGCGCTGCATTATACTACATATTCTGAATTTTTCTTAACGCTTACTACTTTATGGAATACTCTCGGGGCATGCCTACAATCCCAGAAGAAAGTTTTGCAAGGCTGTTGCTGAGAAATACTGATCTTCCAGCAGAGAAAGCTCAAGAGTACATCGAAAGGCTCAATCGCAGGATGAATCTCAGGAAGGTAAAAAGTGCAGTTGAACCTCGTTAAGTGGAACGTCGAAAAGTGACCGTAATAACGGGGTGGCCGAATTAACCGGATAGACATGAGGGTTTAGTTCGCTGGACGTCATGGGTTGGTGGCCGAATTAAGCGGGTAGAACGGTATGAAAATTTAGTTTGCTGGACGTTATGACGGGGTATCCGAATTAAATAGTTAGTACAGTATGAAGGTTAGTTCGCTGGTCGTTATAAAGGGGTGTCCGAATTAACCGGGTAGAACGGTATGAGGGTTTAGTTTGCTGGTCGTTATGACGGTGTGTCCGAATTAAACAGTTAGAACAGTATGAAGGTTAGTTTGCTGGTCGTCATGACGGGGTGTCCGAATTAAACAGTTAGAACAGTATGAAGGTTACATGTAGTTCGCTGGTCGTTATGACGGGATGGCMGAATTAACYGGGTAGACAGTATGAAGTTCGCTGCCCATTATCACGGGGTGGTCGTATTAAGCGAGTGGCCTTAAGGTGGGGCGCCAAGAAAACAAAAGTGGTTTCCCTTCAATTTAGCCTATAWTTTATTATTTAACTTTGTTACAGGCCATCACACTTCAGCAGTATATCAACTTCACTTTGTTTCTAAACAACCTGGATGACTTTGCTATGGCGATGAGAATCTACTCCATTGCAGGACAACCGGTTACACAAGGTGAGTCGTGGTTCTTTCCTCTTATGACGTCATGTTATGTTTCTAACTGTTTAGATGCACCTTGGGGAAAAAAATATAAAAATGGCTATAACCCCATCGTTGACGATCTTCAACCAAGTATCGTTTGCCTTTGACCGATCAATATTGTCATCAATCGGTCCCGTATTCACCCTTCTCTCCGAATCTTTTTTCATGTTTTTCATTCAAAGCTCTAAAACTCTGTTTTTGGCAATAAAAAAAGTAATGATAATAAAAAACTTGGCACGTTTTCACATCAATCACCTCAATATTATTTTAATCTTAAAATGCTTCAGAGCGCTTACTGTGAATAGTGATTGCGTGTAAACCTACTTCTAAATGATGGACACGATCCTCATTACCCTGGTCCCAGAGGTTTTCTTTTCTCTTCTTTTCTAGATGTTTTTTATCGTATTTTTGTCTTTGTTTTTTATATTTAACTTAAATATAAAAAACAAAGACAAAAATACGATAAAAAACATCTAGAAAAGAAGAGAAAAGAAAACCTCTGGGACCAGGGTAGATCCTCATTTAAAATAAATAATAAGAAGATTTATTGTATTTACTCTTTTTAATATCAGTTACTGTACAATCAAGAAATTATATATTCCATAGGGAAATTTCAGACACCTAATAAGAAGTCAATATTTACTCTTTTTGATATCAGTTACTTCACAATCAAGGGGAACACATATTCCATAGGGAAACTTCAGACATCTAATATGAAGTCAATTTTGTACTATTTGTACAGTATTTTGACTCTGAGCACACTATTTTTTCTTATTTACTTTTATTTTCTTTAATTAATCTTAAATTTGGCATTTGCCTGAACATTGTTTAATTGGAAACCTTGCTCTGGCCTGAAACACTATTCTAGTCTTCAAGTGTTGAAAAGTTGGTCAMTCACCTCTCAGCACTACGACTGAGTRTTTAAAAGCAGTTTGAAGATGGATTGTCACTCAGAATTACCAAAAMATGCTTTGAATTCATATTAAATAAAAATCATCTCATGCACGCAAAATAATAATGCGAATTTTGGGTATAAAAGTGTAAAAGTCATCAATTAAAATGTTCCAGAAAGGAAGTCATTTATTATTAATGCAATTGGATTTAATTTATTATGTATTTTTCTTTTTTATAGTACATTCAATGTTGTGCGGCCAAAGAGCTATTATCGTGTCCTCGGTCTACTTAACATTTTTTGCTCTTATTTTGTTGTTTTATATTTCGGCCACTTCAAAATTAAAAGCTGTGTAAATATTGCAAACTTAAAATCCGATTTCAATTAAAACTTTCATTTGTGTCGTTTGCCATCGTTCTGTTTATGACTTCTCGTTGATACATATCATATACACTGGTTTATAATTTGACGCCTTASGCATTTTCATACCCAAAATACGCTCTACTACTTAACTCACTTGAGTATCTTATATTCTTTTCGTTTTTGTTGACTGAAGTTATTGAAACATTGCCACTGCTTGGGACGGCAAGTTCTGAAGGCTTTAAATCAAATTATCTTTGGTACCTAGTAACGATTTGTTTTGGCAATTATTGGAAATGCTAGCGCCTACGATAACTTTTAATTACAATTTCTTCATCTGAWTGAAAAAGGAAAACAACATCCGTTCATTTGAGTGGAGTGACGACTTCGTACAAATATTGTGTTCACTGATAGTCTTGATTGAAAGTACTAKTRAAAATGGAAGCCAAACTGCGGTTTGAATTCGCCAACCGAAGTAACACAGAGTTTGTGGTGGAGTTAACTTTGATGGTTGTGATTGCTTCAGCGGCTTTGACAGGAAATCTCATGGTTTGCTGTGCTGTTTTCCGCAACAAGTCCCTCCGCACCATCCCAAACATCTATATCGTAACACTGGCACTTTCCGACATTTTAATGGCGATTTTTTGTATGCCTTTATCAATTGATGCACTTGTAAACTCAACGTGGACTAAATCGCAGGAGGTTTGCCAGTTTCAAGGCTTTTTCTGCTTCTTTTTTGCCTTTACCTCGCTTCAAACCATGACTGCCATGGCAATAAACCGCTATTACCGAGTGGTAAAACCTTCACTTTACAATAACATGTTCAAAKTAAAACGAGTTTTTGTCTCAGTATTTATTGTGGTTATATTAGCAGCATTTGGTGCTGGCTTGCAGTTGATTGCTGGATGGGCAGTTTTCGATTTTCATTACGGAAAACTCTACTGCTTTCCATTGTACAAAAGTCAAAAYTTGGATAAAGGCTACATCGCTTTTCTTGATTTTTTCTACATTAGTACACCGGTGCTTATAATTTCAGTCTGCTATTTTCACATATTCAAAACTGTTCGAAATCACAAGAAGAGCACGTTTRTWGCGAAAAGAAAAAACTCCACAATTCCAAACCAGTCTGGTCCACCAYCTACKCTGAATATTAATGTTGAAGAAGTAAAAATTGCGAAAACTCTGTTTGTTACAGTTCTGGCGTTTATTACATGTTGGACTCCGGTCGCAATAATCGACATGATTGATACTTATTCTTCTCACACGGTCAACACTCCAAGACAAGTATATTTAGCGTACATTTACTTGGCTTATGGTAGCAGTTCGTTTAATCCATTCATCTATGGGATCTTAAATCGTGCCTTCAAAAAAGAATTTTTGAAAATATTGAAACTTAATTGGAAGCATCAAATCGACATCAATCATACTGATAATTCAGTTTCTATGACTGCACTTAGCAAGGTCAATGCAATATCCGTACATCCATACATAGAGACTGGGACTAGTCGAGACATTCAACGTAATGACGAAGTTTGATTGTGCACTTTTTAAAGAATTAATAAAAAATCTTAAAGGGCTACTTGGACGAAAATTGCAAAACATTAGAAAAGACTTGGAAATCAAATAGATTTCAAGAAAATATTCATGCAAATCCTTAATAATTTGGGCAAAAAATGTTGGAGTAGATGACGTCATCTACTCAATCCTTTTGTTCTTCCATCTTTTGAATCAAAATTTCTCTGACGTGGGATAATTTCAAGACAAATATTTTCCCSCAATTGTTTTTAATAGATATAAATGAGTCATATATTTGTATTGCTTKAAGTTTTGAAATAAGGCCATTTTCATGCAAGTAGCACTTTAAAGAAATATGTACAGTGTGTATATCAGATTAAATCTGCCTGATGAGTGCGTGAGCACGAAACTCAGAGTTGCWGAGAATATGTGTGTCGTCTCCTGAATACTTTACTCAGTGTTTACGGCCTTTACAAATGTGTATTGAGCACTATTCGTCGGTGTTTACGAAAAATCATTACTATTATCTGTTTATCTATTATTATATACAGTATGTCCGGTATATATGATCACTGAGACCGCGGACTAGGCAGGTCAGGGGGGGGGGGGGGGGCTGCAGCACCCTCCTCACCCTCCCCCAATAATTATTTGCTCCTTAGAAAATATGAAAAAGCGAGGGCTACTATCACGCTGTGACAATGGAAATTCTATACTAATATCTTTTGGCATTGTTAAGAAATATTTCCATAAATTCACTGCATAAAATATGTTCTCGTACAGTAAAAACCCGCGTATAAGAACCTAACATTTAATAACCTGTTAGACTAAAATTTCACTTTTAAGCACCCTTCACATAAGAACCATTTTAGGTTAGAATTCTAAAACAGGTTCCTATGTTGAAAAAAACAAAAAACAAAAAAAAACAACAACACCAAAATGTTTTTTTTTTAATGTAGAAAAAACTTAAAGTTTTCTCATGGTTCTTATACGCGGGTTTTTACTGAGCGTTGATTGAACTTTGGTTGGGCTCATAGTGTTTCGTTTTTGGAAAAATATTCTGATTTAACGGCCATGTAGAAAAGAGCTGAATATGAGGCTCCATGGAAACATGCTTGATGTAGTATTCCATGAGTTCGAATTATTGGCAACAGAGTTTGTTTTTGATGGTTTTACGTATATACGACAGACGAAGGGCAACAATAACAGGATTTATCAAAGACTGCAGATGTATAATCGTCACGCCTATTGCTGTAGAGATGTATTTGAACTCTTCTGTCACTTCTTTTCCTATAAAAAACCAAATGATGGTTACAATGACAAGTGGAAGAGCCGTGGCTACGTTGGCGAGCAGAACTATAACCATGATAAATGCCTGCTTGTGATCCTTGAGTCGGTCTTTTAGTTGTTGTAATTGCCGTTGCTGCTGCTGTTGATYTTGTTGTTCGTATTCTTGTTGATCTTGTTGCTCTTGTTGTTGATCTTGTTGCTTTTGTTGTTGTTGATCTTGTTGCTCTTGTTGCTCTTGTTGTTGTAGTTGTTGATCTTGTTGAAGTTGTTGATCTTGTTGCCCTTGTTGTTGTAGTTGTTGATCTTGTTGTAGTTGTTGATCTTGTTGAAGTTGTTGTTGATCTTGTTGCCCTTGTTGTTGCAGTTGTTGTTGATCTTGTCGCTCTTGTTGTATTTGTTGTTGATCTTGTTCTTGCTGTTCTTGTTGTTCCAGCTGTTGCTGTTCATCTTGCTGCTGCTGCTGCAGTTGACCTTGTTGTACGTATTCTTGTTGATCTTGTTGCTCTTCTTGTTCCAGTTCTTGCTCTTGTTGTAGAGATTCTTTTTGTGCGATTATAGCTCTTTTATGGCGCAAAGCTGTAATCTGAACCGTAATAGTGCAATAGAAAATCGTCACAACACTCATCGCAACTATCGCTCCAARGAGAACTCTATGTATTTTYTTCTKTAAGAACCATACAGGTGTCAGCGCTGCTGCATACAGACCCCAAAGAAACATTGTCGCACATATGGTCTTGTTTCTGTTCATAGACCCGCTGTAGTATAAGGGATGTCTTACAGCAATATATCTCTCAATGCTTAAGGCCAAAAGAGAACCACATGACCACACACTGCATAAAGGCATCGCCATAGAATATGCGGTGAATATTGWACAGATATCGTCAAATTGTGAAGAGGCAGCCAGYGCATTTAGGGATGTGAAYATTGGCTGTACAATCAGCCCAACTAACAGATCACTAAACGCTAGTACGGAAATAAGRAGATTATAACTCAATGTCCGTAGCTGTGAATCACTAAGMGTTATCCAAATCACCACTAGATTGACAAGTACTATCAAAGGAGMCGTGACACCATTAATTGYAATCAAAGTTACCCTGAAAGTGTACATCCACTGGGCGTCTGAGGTGTTTCGGTACAAGTGAGGAACGTAAATCAAACACGCCGTGGAATTGTCGTCACTTGAATTCATGGTGACAGTGTGGCCCCTGAGATGTTTACAGTCCATTTTATACAAAATTACATACAATCGTGGTTTGAATAATAGAGAATAATACATAAATGCATATTGTCATAGTATAGTAGCTTTATAATGATAACGTCCGGGCAGTTGTCTGTATTGCGTTAATAAAGGACCTTTGGCTTACGTAACGCTGTGAATTCACGTGTCAGGGATGAGAACATAGGTTTTATGAGGCAGGRGGGTTCCAGCTTTGCTTGCGGTTTAAATAATTTGAATGTTAAGAAAGAATTTGATAAAAATAAAAGCATGTCATTCTAAAAGGGCCGGGAATGCAAAATTGCATAAGTATTCAGTGTTTTGGATTCACAACGATCAAACCATTTGGAAAATAAATTCTCTTTCAAAGACATTGTTTGCCAAGAACGGGGATTCCGGAAACGCATGAGACTCCCCCCCCCCCCCCCCCCCTTCCCCTGATTTCATGTTTTGTACTATTTAAAACTGTGAACTGGATTTTTATAAATGAATTAGTACAAAACTAAAATTTAAAGTAAATCARTGTGCATAGGTATTGCTGCTCCATTATGTTTTTTTGAAAAAAATCTGGAACCACAAAAGTTGGGTTTATTTTGTTTAATTCGTGTGCATGTATTTTTATTAATGGCTTRAAACATCCGGGGAAGAGCTTATGGCAGGTGCCTCATTTTTAGCCGTTATGTGCATTTATGGCAAAAAATCTGTAAAATATTTCAAATTCCCTGGTTTTTCTTCGATAAATTCAGAAAAGTATACTTTTGAACATAAGCCTTCTATTTCTAATGGAAAGTCTATKTTATTAGAATTACGTGAGTGTTTTGAAAAGGGTGAAAATTAGAGATCGTTTTGTGAATTKGACTGCCTTTTACAATAGCTTACGAAATCTTAATRATTACGCTGTTCATCAGCCTTCCGATCATAAAATGCTGTTAMTTCTWAWTRAATAGACTTAAATTGTCCGGAAGCYTAGATTCAGGATTTAAAGAGACGAGTGATTAAGTATTCTTTGCTGTACAATCGTCTTCAGTAATTCTTATTAATTGTACTTTGTCAAAACAGTTGATTAATTTGTGTTTTGTTTTCCAGATGAGTTCCAGCGTGCTGTACGTATCTCTACCGGCCATACTATTGATCCTTATGTTGTGCATACAATATTCCAAATCTTTGATGTCGATGGTAAAGTATAATACCTTTATATTAATTATAATGCTTGTTTGACATATAAAYCGACCGCACGCAGGCTGGCGATTGTTTATTTGACTATAGCAATTATGCTCGTTTTCATAGCAGGTGTTCTGAGATGTRACCAATCGTGAAGACTTATTCATTCACGTGGTTTTTCCAATCAGAAATTCCCTACGTTTTAACATCAACGTCCACCATCTTCAATGATGTGAAAATAATTAAGGGAAACGGATTATTATAATTTCGTATCACTGATGCTGGCGACGTTACGTCAAAATATGTTTGATAATAAACTACCTACATGTATAARGTTGAATGGAAATTGTTTTCGTTTAATTTTTTTTTTCACTCTCCCTCAACTTTTTCCTTCGCTAGATAGGTGAAGAATTTAGGTCGAATTGTTCACTTTCAGGTTAAAATTATGACACTCTGTCAAAATGTGTCTTTGAATGCCAGGAATCGATTCTGATATAGTGCCAACGCAAAAATCGATGCAGTCGGCAATTACGGGGATTTTTCAAAATGGCGGCCATTTTGAACCGGAAGTAAAATTTCAAATAGTAATAAATCAATMGCAATACATGTTTAAATGATTAAACACAGACAGTTGCTGAGTTTTATTTATGTTAAGAGATTCTGATATAGGTTAAGGACAAAAAAGAACTATTTTCTCTAATTTAGGGGATTTTTTGAATAGCGGACATTTTAAACCGGAAGTAGAATTCGCATAATAAAGATTGGGCGTTTTTGACCACCGCAGCTGGAAGATGTTTGTTTTAGAAAAAGGACATGCACATTTTAATTTTAATTACTAAATGATTTTAAAATAGGCTTTAAAAACGAAGTTGAAAAATCTGCAAAATAGGAAATGCTCGCTCTCCATTTATTATGACAAAGGACAATGAAAATTAAAACTCTTTATGACAAAACGCACATACAATAATCTTGTTTTAGGGAAGTAAAGGTAACTAAGCGGTGAGAGGGCCTTTCACCTCTGTAGACCCTGTTCGAATCTTACTCGACCAGCCTTTTGAAGCTCAAGGATCCCAATAAGTCAATCAAGATAATTTTATGCCAGAAGTTGTCTCATTACTATAGCAGTATTATTCAATATGAAGCCTTATGAAAATCTTTTTTAATAAGATGTACCACAGCAGCTAATCGATATTGAAGAGAGAAAACAGCGCATTCACAGCTGGTTAAAACATAAAGTTTTATGGACTAAATAATGATATACAATTCTATTCTGTTGAATTTCTTTTCAGGATACCATTTTATTAAAATTGCTTCTAAGTAATTTTTTGTTCAGACTATCAGCGCTTACCAAATATAATAGTTACATGTGTTCATAATTTATATTGTGAAAGTACAGAAACACAAAGCCGAACATCTTTAAAGCATGAACACCTTCCAGAACAGCTATTGTACATGGACAGYGAATAAGCTCTCTGTACGATTGGGCAACATCAGGAAGAGATTTCCAGTATGGCTGCCTTTCATCAGTTGTGATCTGTATCGTATCCGGCCTGAGTCCCAATCTTGTGGACTTGGAAGCTGGGGCTGTGATGTTCAAGCATGACCCCAGCGKTGTGATCCCTGGTAGCAAGTATGTTTGTTATGCTCCAACAGAGCTGCTTTATCAGGCGAAATAGACTTTCCTTTTTGGGAGTTGATGGCATCATTAACTTGACTTCTGTCACATGTTCGGCCATAAAGGATGACAACGTACCTTTCAGGAGAAAAATCATGCACTCTTTAGTGATCTGACAAGCATTAAAAATGTTGTTGTGGCATCAGATTGTGCTTTTCAAACACCAAAGTCCGTCTTTTTTCCACGCCAAGCAAAACAGGAAACTGTGATATCAACCATGCATGGTGAAGGCGTGTTAAACAGAGGTGCCAAGGACTCTTGTGGCCAAAGACTGTTGGATATCTCATGTAACGTAGAGGTTTACATGTGCCAAAGGCAACCTGGAACTCTGCCTTGGCGTGGACGGTTAGCTTCGAATATGTTGAAACTCCTAGCACTAGGACATCTGTATCTACTCAAGCGAATGAGTAGTAACCTTGGTGTGTCAGCTTCTGCATGTTTACATAGGGGAAATACTAGAAACTTCGAATGAATGAAAGCATGGAACTTATTGTCAACATGGTGAAACCTTCCAATACACAGTCAACATTCTCAGATTATGCTAAAAAGTCATTTGTCCCATATGTCCAATCATAGTGATACGATATCTCATCATGTGGAATTTGTTTTTGTAAATACATAATAGTTTTAGGACTACAACAAGAGATTCTCGAGGATCTGGGTTCGCGTCAGTATTGGGGGCAATTACCAAACTGCCAGGCAATTGGAAAAGTTTCTTATGCGAAGACTAAACAAAAAAGAGCTGTATCTGACAGAATATCTTGCATCACAAGAAGAGAAAGAGCTTGATAGACGTAGTTCGTGGTGACCTATGGACAACGGGTTCTATGCTCACCTGCATTTAAAGTCCCTAGTATTTCCCCATGTAACATGGAGAAGCTGACACGCGGATGATGTTGCATGTGTCGCGTGATGAGTATCTTTTGGTGACCTTTCACTCAGTAGATACAGATGTCCTAGTGCTAGGAGTTTCAGCATGCTCGGATGTCCTTGTGCTAGGAGTTTCAGCATGTTCGAAGCTAACCATTCAGGCCAATTGAGAGTTCCAGATTTCCTTTGGCACAGGAAATCATCTACTGTACCTCGCTGTGCATGAGATATCCAACAGTCTTGGGCAACAAAAGTTCTTGGCACTTCACTTCATAGTTTCCTGTTTTTCTGGGCGTGGACAAAAGACGCGGACTTTGATGTTTGAAAAGCACAATCTGATGCCACAACTGCATTTTTAATGCAAGCCACCCAATCTTGTCAGATCACTAAAGAGTGCATGATTTTTCTCTTGAAAGGTACGTTGTCATCCTTTATGGCCGAACATGTGACAGAAGTCTAAATTGATGCCAGAAAGCAACTGTTAGCCCAGAAAGGAAAGTCTTTCAAATCTATTCCACCTACCAGTCCTGTTGGAGCATACCAAACATGCTTGCTGCTAGGGACTGCACTGCTGGGGCCATGCTTTAAAATCCAAGCCCACAAGATTGGGGTTCAGTCTTGATACAGACAATTGACGAGTGTTAGCCATACTGGACATCTCTTGCTGATGTTGCCAAGTCGTGTAGAGAGCTTATTAAAAGCTGTTCTTGAAGTCATTCATGCTCTAAATCCGACCTTGGCTGTACATCTTACARCTTTGGTGGTCAAAAACGCCTAATCTTTATTATGCAAATTTTACTTCCGGTTTAAAATGGCCGCTATTCAAAAAATCCTCTTAATTAGAGAAAATAGTTCTTTTTTGTCCTTAAACTATATCAGAATCTCTTAACATAATTAAAACTCAGCAACTGTCTGTGTTTAATCATTTAAACATGTATTGTGATTGATTTATTACCATTTGAAATTTTACTTCCGGTTCAAAATGGCCGCCATTTTGAAAAATCCCCGTAATTGCCGACTGCATCGATTTTTGCGTTGGCACTATATCAGAATCGATTCCTGGCATTCAAAGACATATTTTGACAGAGTGTCACGATTTTAACCTGAAAGTGAACAATTGCCTTACCTATCCGCCTAACTTATTAGTATATCCCTTAAACTTCTACTCCGGTCTTGATCGAGAATGAACTTACAGACTGACATGGGAGGGGTAGGGAGGTCAGTAGTAATCTTTGTACCACCTATACTCCACGCCCCAGTAAAATTTGTTTCTTAACTGTTTTACAGGGGATGGGAAACTGAGTCATCACGAATTTATTGAACTCATGAAAAATCGACAAAAGCGAGGATTCAGGGTGAGAGCAATTTAGCTTTATGTTATTACTATCGCCTTTAGTTATGTATTTCCGCTTTAGTGAAGTACTCTTGCAGATGATAAATATTGAGCTCGGTTTTTATCCGCCGGGAGTTCGTACACGCGCGATACTTTGCTAAATCAAGTACTTAAAATGATAATAATAATAGTATATTTATGATGATGATGGGCATGCTTGTTGATGCATGTCAGTGATGATGATGATAATGGTAATCATAACTAGTGACAGGTAACGATCACCTTCAGGGTTGATATACATATAATATATAATTATGATGATGATGATGAGCATGCTGGTGATGATGATAATGGTAATCATAATTACTGACAGGTAACGATTTCTATGTACATTAAAACCGTTTTTCCTATCGATAGACACCGTCAGCGGACAAACCAGGATGGGAAGGATTCAAAGCCTGTGTAAAAAAGGAAATTGCAAACTAATCACGTTAATTGAAATCAAGTTGAGACCAGAAGAATATAATTTACACTCTTTCGATTTCCCCTGATAAATTGTATTCCTTCTTCGTATGCAAAAGAATCGACCCTGCAGGTGATCTTGCGTAAAGACGTTTGAAAGTCTTAGTCCAAACAACTGCGAATTTTTTGGGACTAAGAAGGTATTTGTTATGCAATATCTGAAGGATTTGTTAAGACTTAGAATAAGAAACTGAAAAGAAATTAAATTAAGAGTAGTTTGAGGATACCTTGAAGAATCTACACGGATTAGGCGGACCATAATATCCAGGAAATCCAAATAATTCACAAATGCAAGTTATGGAGGTATGACGTAGAATTCCGCCTTACGGCCACCCGGTTAATACGGGCACTTTTTGTTTTTCCTTCGATGTCCGGATTAAGGAGGTTCCAATGTTCTTTACATCTGTACATTGATTTGAGATACGCATGCCGCGTTGCTGCTTATTCCGTCATTTTTTATGCGTTTTCGTGGCATTTCATTCCAGCAGTCAGTATAGATCCCTGTGTCAGTATAAATTGACGCACGTTTGTTAAAGAGCTCCAAGCTTTATTGCTGTATTTTAGTAGTATTTGTATTTATAAGTTATTTGAAAACATGCAATTTGTGCGACAACAACATGTAATCTGAATAACGTTAATAAATTTCATTGTATATTATGTGTGATAAAGGGTCATGTGGAATGGATATTTTGTGGAATGGGTTCTTGCCAACTTCGGATAGTTTACCGAGTTATTTTTATACTAAAAAAAAATTATTGCTTGTAAAGTCGAATAACACTTCGAAATTTGTACAATGCAATAATCCCATATGAAATACAACTCGAGCTGCGGCCTGTACAGTCGTGTTTTTAGTTTTTTTTCTTCAGAGAAAACGGAAGACGTTTGGACTCACGCGCTAAATTTAAAAGCTGGCTGAGCATGAACTCTAACTGAAACATACACTTATACACACACTTAAATATCGGTCAAGTTTTGTTTCACGGGTTTAAAGTGAAGTCATTAAAGCCGTGAAATAAAATTTAACTATTAAAGTGTGATAGTCAAATAGAARCAAAAGCAACCAATGTAACTAGAGCGTAACAAGGACCCTTTTAAGGTATTTTTTTATCATGTGATAGTTATCTCGGAGTCATCCGCCTAACTAACTAACTAACTGATAGTAGGGTAATTCACTCGAAATCGTCTCAATGATGACATCACTTCGTACACAGATCGTAAAACAGTGTGAGATTCCGAAGCCATATTTGTCACTTGGAAAAGAAAGGTATTTTATACATAGTGTCCTCGTTCTAGGGCCTTGGCAGGATCGAGTGAATAGTGCTCAAAAGCGCAATAGAGTGCATTTCTGATATTCAAGACGAAATWGCACAAATTGCAATAATTAGACAATAGAGACAAAGGATTCCACACTAATATGCCTAATTTAGTTTGCAAACCATATCTTATGATATAAAAATCACTCTGGGATAGCATTATTTTAGGAACGGATTCCTGCAAACTTTTGGTTGTTTACCAAGTTATATTTTCATCTTTAAAATAATAGAATTATTCCTTGGAGCTGACTAACATTTCAATTAATTTAATTTAATTATAACGCAATGTAATAGTCACACGTAATAATGAAATACAATTCGAGTCGCGGCGGCCTGTATTGTGGCCGTGTCACTGAAGGAATGCAATGAATTGTGTTTTCTGTTCAGCGAAAACGGAAGACGTTTGSCCTTGATACATTAAGCTGACTGAYCTCGAACTGAAATTCAGTACAAACTGAATGCTTCTGATACCAACATTTGATTAAATTTTGTTGCTGCACTCAAACCGAACCTCTTCACGCGCATAATCGGCGCGAAGCCCGGCGCGAAGCTGCAGCTAAATTTCAAGCATCCTCGACGACAATCTCGTTGCAAAAATCGCAAGTGTAAACTGGCTTTTACATTATTTGAATTTTTACTGTGATGACGTGTACTATGATTTTTATTTACTATGATTTTCCGTTAAAATACAGTTTTCTATGTTTGGACGATTCGGGTTAATGATTTGAGTTGCGCGCAAAGATTTTTTGTGCACATCGCGTGAAAACAAAGAACACGGGATTTCACGCAAAAGTAGTTAAGTTAACATTCTTTATCTTGAATTGCACTGACTTCGAAAATAACGATAAACCAAAAAGGGCTGTTTTTACGCAAAGGATTCAATCGTATTTTCATCATTTTTTAACGTAGTGGATTACTCCTTATTTTTCACGTTTCTCTTAGTCTTTTCAGTTGTTTTACTTTTGACTATTACACCTTGTTTCATGGGTTAATGAAAACCACACTACTTCAGCATGTTAGAAGATTTATCCCGATTTTTTCCCCGGGCAACCTTAGATCAAAAGTTGTAAGAATTTGACTCTTCGCACGTTAAGTGCGACATGCATAGGCATATATCCAATATATGATACTCTCATGCAGGAAACAGACGAGATCAAAATAACATGTTTAAAGATATGACAAAACAAATCGCGGAAGGTTAAAATAAGGATATAAGATTAACGCAGTCAATCGTGCATTCATACACATTCAGACGATCGAAGTGAAGCTACAACAGCAACTTTAGTCCAGCATGGATTTGAAACGGGCTGTACTTATCTATGCAGTGGTTTTGGTAGCATTTCTTATTGCAAACTCTGGCTTGAGTATTGCTAGTGGACTATCCTCTAGTGGGTAAGAATTAAACGAGTTAAGTTGTTATGGATATTTCCGTAAATTTTAAGGAAGAAGTAATTGGCTCGGGATGACGATTTGGAGATTACTTTCAGAATTTCCAATCAGGATCCCCCCCATTTTTACTGCAAGCTGCAAGGGAACAGCGACACTTATCTTGGGTCTCCTCTGGCGCACGATTATAGTCTTGACCATATCAGAACTCTGGATGGGCGGCAACAAACGTACTGAACCTTATTTCCTGTTTGTCTCGACCAACTTTAATCGACTGCTTGAGCGAAGTAACGAACGGGAATTATTCATTACTTAAGTGACACTTCTACGGAAAGATAAGAATCTTTCATGAGTTTTTTTTTTATACGTTCGCTGCGTACATACGATCAACTTTAAGGTATCAGGAGGGGTTCACGACCACTACTCACGCAAACTCAAATTACGTGCTGGCAAAAAAAAAAAAAAAAAAAAAAAAAAATTACGTGCTGGCTTTGTGTCGGCCATTATAAAGTCGTCAATACGTGGTGAAGAACGATACTGGCTTTTAGAATTAGAAGCAGGTGCGTAGGCCGCCTTACGGAAAGGGGTTCTTTTTTTTCTTAATGCGGACCTAAATTAAATGTTTAACTAGATTAGTTCAATGCACCGGTATAATGTGTAAGAGCTGGCTGCTGCTAGATGAGCACTTCATCTCAAACAGTTCA